ATTATTGAGTCCCACATGCATTCCTAATCCAATCTCTGAAAACGTTTAGAGTATAGCAAATTGTGACTGAGGTTGTGTCCAGGCACCCTACAGTGTCTGCCATGAATACCAATATGGTCAAATCTGAGCTGCATGAATGTCCAAAGGTGGCATAAGAGAAATAAACTTGTATCCTCCATTTTATAACAAGAAAAAAGATGGAGGACCATATATGAAGAATGGTTACTGAAATACGGATAATGCAAAAATACTATCAGTAATTAACATTTGTGTGAGACTTACTATACTCCAGGTACCATTCAAAACACTTAGATAATAAATGATTATACAAGAAATTTAAACTATAAAAAGACACAAAGAAGGTCATTAAATAGTGACAAAGGGGTGTATTAGTCTGTTTTGTCTTGCTAAAAGGGAATATCTGAGATTGGGTAATTTATAAAGAAAAGAGGTTTATTTGGCTCTACAGACTATCCAAGAAGCATGGCACCAGCAAAAGAAGGCTTCTGGTGAGGGCCTCAAGAAATTTTAATCATGACAGAAGACAGAGGGAAACAAGTGTGTCACATAGCAAGGGAGGGAGCAAGAGAGAAGGGGGAGGTACCATGCTCTTTTTAAGAACCAGTTCTTATATGAACTAAGAGAGCAAAAACTCACTTGTTACTACACGATGGCACCAAACCATTCATAGGGATCCAACTCCGTGTCCCAAATGTATCTCACTGGGCCCCACCACTAACATTGGAGATTAATTTTGGAGTATATCAAGGGGTTAATTTATCAAAAGGATATAATAATTATAAGCACATATTCACCCAACATAGGAGCACCTAACATATAAAGCAAATATTAATAGATATGAAAGGAGAATAGACTATAATACAATAATAGTATAAGACTTCAGTATCTCATTTACAGCAATTGTCAGATCATCCAGACAAAATATTAATAATGAAACACTGGACTTGAACTATATTTCAGATAAAATAGAACTTACAGATCAGATACATTACATTCCATTTAACAGGGGCAGAATACAAACACACACTCTTTGCAAAGGCACATGAAACATTCTCCAGGACAGATCTTATATTAGTCCATAAAACAACTCTTAACAAATTTAAGATGATTGAAATTATATCAAGTACCTTTTATGACCTCAATGGTATGAAATCAGAAATTAATAATGGGAGGAACTTCAGAAAGTCTACAAATGCATTTCTCTAATGACCAGTGACAATGAGCATTTTTTCATGTTTGTTGGCCTCATATATGTCTTCTTTTGAAAAGTGTCTGTTCATATCCGTTGCTGACTTTTGATTGGGTTAATTTTTTTCTTGTAAATTGTTTTAGTTCTTTGTAGATTCTGGATATTAGCCTTTGTCATACAGGTAGATTACAAAAATTTTTTCCCATTCTGTTAGTTGCCGGTTCACTCTAACGATTATTTCTTTTGCTGTACAGAAGCTCTGGAGTTTAATTAGATCCCATTTGTCTATGTTGGCTTTTGTTGCCTATGCTTTTAGTGTTTTAGTCATGAAGTCTTTGCCTATGCCTGTGTCCTGAATGGTTTTGCCTAGGTTTTCTTTTAGGGTTTTTATGGTGTTAGGAGGTTAGGTTTTAAGTGTTTTTACCACAAAAAGTGATATATATGTGAGGTAGCATGTATGTCAATTAGGGTCAATTGAGCCATCCCACGATGCATACATATTTCAAGACATCATGTTATTCAAGATGAATACATAAAATTTGTATTTGCCAATTTATGAAAACTTAAAAATGCCTATATACCTTATTTAATCCTTACAACAACCACCTTATGAAGTGGGAACTATTTTTATTCCTGTCTAACCTGTGAAGAAACCAAGACACAAAGAATTAAATAGTTCAGAGAAAGTCTCTCAGTTAATACGTGCTCAATCTGCAATTCAGACACAGGAAGCAACAATTCTAACTCAAGATTACTAAAAACATAAGAAAAGGACCTTTTGCTTATATTATCTTCTCTTAAAAACAAGAGTTTTCCCTGGAAGTCAACAAACATTTAACAAGCCAACCTGAGTCTGAGGGTAAAATTTCCAAACTCACATGATCGAAATATCAGAACAAAAATACTAGTCAGTCCATTATTTACCAAAGAAGCCATCCATTGGGACTGGCAATCCTAAATGGTGGGCCTTGGGAGAGAACGTTTTCTTGCTTGAAAGTATTACTGCTAGTGATATCAGTAATATTCTACTTATGGGCCTGCACAACCTGCTAGTATCGGGATGTTTTAGAGCATAGCAGATGCAGAGAAGGAAGTAATAACTTCATGAAAGTGGCCTGAAGTGGAGGCATCATCCCTTCACCACCAGCAGAAAGAATTCATAGCTCCAGTGAATTGCCACTCCCATCAAACACCACCAGCAACAAGAAGTTCAGATATAAGCTAACTTCTCAATTTAAAGCAGTTTTTCTCATTCTTTTTTCATTATCGTTCCCTATAGAGACTTTTTAATTTTATTTACTTTTTAAATTGACACTGAGTCTCACTCTGTTGTCCAGGCTGGAGTGTAGTGGCACAATCTTGGCTCACTGCAACCTCTGCACACTTTTTCCTAACTGTTCCCACCATGATATATAAATACCACATATACATTATATGTCTGTTTATGTAGTATGGCCCTTTGGAGGTCCACAAACCATCATAAGATCTGAATTTTCTCATCCTCCAAGAGCTAATTTGCATCTTCTTGGGGTGGGTGATATTGCTTTTGAAAGAATGCATGGCATTATGAACTTCATGTTTGTGTTCCTCCCGAAATTCATATGTTAAAACACTAACCCCCAATGGAATGGTATTAAGAGGTGGGGTCTTTAGGAGAAGGTCATGAAGATGGAGCCCTCATGATGTGATTGTTGTGCTTCCAACAAGAGACTCAAGACAGCTTGCTTCCTCTCTCTGCTCTCTGGCCATGTGAAGACAGAGCAAGATGACAGCCATCAGCAAACGAGGAAAAAAATATCTCATCAGAACCTACCCTTGCTGGAACCATGATCTCAAATGTTTCAGCATCCAGGACTGTGAGACATGAATTTCCATTGTTTAAGCCACCAGTCTATTGTAATTTGTTCATAGCAGCCCAAACTGACTAAGACATCTGATTCAAAATGATTCGTTTATGATGCTAAAAGTCATTCTGGGAAATGGAGCTGCCTCATGGCCTCACCAAAATTCTAACAATGGCCAAGTTCTCTTAAAAAATTACTTCCTTAAATGTAGTGGTCGTTATTGCTATCAATAGTTTTGGAATGTAGTCATATTGCAAACATTCCCACATGGTTTGCCAGAGAACACATGACCAGCTTTGCCCAGTGAATTGTAAGTTAAAGGATCACATATGATTTCTAGACAAGAACATTCTACTGCTGGTTCAAAATCTACAGCTCTCTTTTCCTCTATCCAGTGATAAGCAAAATTCAAGACGGAAGCTGCTGTGTCAGCCTGAGCTCCAGTGTGAGGAGATATGGAGGAGAGCTCCCAACTGACCTCAGTGCATAAGAGATAGATCACTAAGATTTAAAGGCTGTGTTTACTGCGGCACAACCCAGATTACCTTGACTGACACACTGGGTTATTCATTTATTTATTTAAATGAATTAGAACCTAGCATGTGCTGGATACTGTCTTAGGCACTCAGGATATACTCTTAACTAGACAAGTCCTTGTCCTCATGGAACTTATATTCTAATAGAGGAATCTAGTGAGATCAAATTCAGCAAGGCTTCAGCCCAGACAAGGAGGAATATATTAAGGAAGAAAATTAATCCTGCTTCTTGAAGACAAAGCTAAAATTAGCAAACTCCATCCCATGATTTACTTTAAACTCTCTTCTCCAAGATGAGGCAAAGTCCAGAGATCACTAGTCCCTCTGCGCCTCTCCCAGGACACCAAAGGAATGTGAAATCTTATCCTTTGAATTTTGAAGGTAAATGATTTGGGAAGGTTATTGAGGAATCTTTAAAGAAAGAGCAGGATTCAGCAAACTGAAGGTTTGAAGGGGCCTTCCAGATTGCAGGAACTTAACAGAAAGGGATGTGAAAGCGCGGATACCCCTTGCTCACACTAAATCCATCACAGAAGCACCGAGTGATTAGATGAACTAATTTACCAAAACATCAAACTGGGTTCTTAAAAGCGATTTTATTTTGTCTAAGTCCCCATAATACTCATAGAGAGATGTTCATTTCCCACAGGATAAAGCCCATTCTTCCTTAAGAGGAATCCTGAACAGATAATACAATTAAACGGAAATAAACCATTTTAACCACCCCCCTACCCCCAGACACCCCCAACCCCTGCAGTTCAAATGCCCCAGCCATCAAAGCTGACCAGCCCAAACCAGCTGCTTAAGATCATCCTTTGAGGTTCAATGAACTAGGGCTTTGTTAGATTAGAAGTGAGAAAGGATTTCAAAGACAAGTGCCCTCCTTGGGAAATAATTTCCTGATGACCTCTTCTAATTACATACTTTTTCTCAGAATACCGTTAGGTCCTAATCCTTATTCCCTCCCCTATGAATCTCCCCTAAACTCCTCGGTGAAGCTTGGCTAGAAGAAAATGAAAAGATAAATGGTGAGATCTCCCCAACCCATTATAAAATTTCACTGATTAACCACTGCCTAAAAATATAAAATGAACTAGAGACAAGACATCCTCCATTTCTGACTCTGCAAATTCTGGATAGCTTGATTCTGTGTCCTTATATCTTGGTTTAATTTCAAAAAGCAAAAGGTTTCTAGATGTTAAATCTTGCAATCAGATCATTTTTTAATTTCCTGCCTCATTGCCACTGTCTAACATTCCAACTAAAGCTATTTCGTCTTTTCTTTTTAAATTATTATTTTTTCATTCATACGTTATATGTATCTATATTTGGGGGAACATGTGATAATTTGATACATTCATATATTATGTAAAGCTTGAATCAGGCTAGTTGAGATAGCCATCAACTTACAGGTCTTTCTGAAGATTTTCAATCTTGAGTGATTCTTCTTGGAAGTTTCAGCTAAAAAGAAACACAAAGTTGAGGTTTAACGTCGATAGTTTTTTTCCTGTAAAGTTGTTTAAGATAACAATAATTTTTAAAGAATTTATTAAACAATAATTTCCTTAAAGTTGTTTAAGATAATCATAAATTCAGCTATCTGGCTTTAACCTAGGACTAATAGTATTGCTCAGAAATTTATGAAAAGGCTGTTTGTATAAACAATTAATACCATAATATCAGAAGAGAAAAAATAGAAAACAAATATGAATTGATCTAGTTAATAGAAGCAAACACACACAATGAGACTCAAATATTAATTAGGTTGAGAATGTTCATAATAGTTTGTTTTTTTAAAAAACATGCTTGCCGAGAAAACAGAATTAGGAGCGAAAATTCTGTTTTCTGATATTAAATCCATCACAGAAGCACCAAGTGATTAGATGAACTAATTTACTGTGTGGATGACCTCAGGAAAGTAGCTTTGCACACTGACCGGCTGCCAGGCATCGTAGGAAGCGGTTTTCATGAATGAACACATTCACTCTTCATGTCATAACCTTCGTGGCAGGTATTACTATTATCCCCACTTAAGAGACAGGAATCTGATGTTCAAATAAATTAAATAACTTACCCAAGGTCACAAGTTTCAAGAGCAAGCCCTTTACCTTAACTCTTTCATTACCAGATGATTTTTAAAGTGTCATACAGGCTTAATATTCTGGGCTTCTAAAATCTAGTTCTAACACTACACCCTACTGCTTCCTTTCTAAAATTATGAATAATTCTACCAGTGACATGTTTATGGGTTTTGTCCTCTTAAAATATTTTATTTTGAAGACATCAGCCTGAAAACTTAGATGAAATCTTTTGCTTAGTTTAAAATTTTAAGAGAAGATGAAAAATAAAGAAGGAAGGAAACTCTGATGATTATTTCTTAAACATTTGGCCCAGAGGAGTGACCTGTAGCTCTATATAAACTCTTACTGATTTTTCTCAAGGGAATGGGGTTATTATCAATCCATTGAAAGAAGTCTGAAGTGATGGAAACCAATACAAATATGTCACAGGAGCATTTATTCATTCCTTGATGCTTTTTTTGTTCGTTTCTTTTCAAATAGACCCATTAAACCAAGACTGATATAGTACCCTACCATCTCACTCCCATTTTATTTGCTTATTTATTTCATTATTTTAGAGACAGGGTCTTGCTCTGTTTCCCAGGCTGGAGTGCAGTGGCACTATCATAGCTCATTGCAGCCTTGAACTCCTAGGCCCAAGTGATGATCATCACCATGGCAGTGACTATCACTATGCCCAGCTTTTAAAATTTTTTGTAAGGCAGGGCCTTGCTGTTGCTCAGGCTGGTTTCAAACTCCTGATCTCAAGGTAATCCTCCCTCATTAGCCTCCCAAACCACTGGGATTGCAGGCATAAGCCACTGCATACAACCTCTCTTTTAAAATTGCAAACCAGAAAATAATCGTAACAAAGTGGCTCAGCACAAGGACTCAGGAGGCCAGTGCCTGATTTAAAACCTGTCTTCTACATATTCATTAATTGTGATACTATGATTTGACCTCCCTGTGCCTCAGCATATTCATGTATAAAATGGAAACAGTAGTGCCTTCTTCCCGAGGTTGTTTTGAGGTTAGCATGCCGTGGAATACCTATTAAGCACACCGTACATGATGGCTATTATTCTAATTACTTTATGAGAACCCGGTTTGAAGCTGATATGGTTTGGATCTTTGTCCCCACCAAACTGTAATCCTTAATGCTGGAGGCGGGACGTGGTGGGAGGTGATTAGATCATGGAGGCAGATTTTTCATAAACGGTTTAGCAGATCTTCTTGGTACTGTCCACGTGACAGTGACTGAGCTCTCATAAGATCTATTTGTTTAAAAGTGGGCAGCACAACTTCGCTCCCTCTCTCTTGTTCCCGTTCCTGCCCTGTGAGATGCCTTGCTCCCCCTTTGCCTTCCGCTATCATTGTAAGTTTCCTGAAGCCTCCCCGAAAACAGAAGCCACCGTTTCCTGTACAGCCCGCAGAACCGTGAGCCAACGAAACCTCTTTTCTTTAAAATTACCCAGTCCCAGCTATTTCTTTCTAGCAGTGCGAGAACGAACACAAACTTAAGCACAAACTTCTAACTCTCCTAATGCAAACATTTTCTTTCATTAACTTCTACACACTCAGGAAATTTAACTCCTTAGGAATTATGTTGAGCATTTTCTATGAACCAGACACTATTCTGTATACTTTATAACTAATAAGGCAATTCTTCCTTTGAATCTCACTAGATCAGTACTGTCATATCCATTTTACAGAAGAGGAAACTGAGGCATAAGGAGGTAAGAAATCTACCCAAAGTCACTAAGGAAATAAATGATACAGCTAAAGTCATAATCCAGGCCCTGTGGCCCAGGGCCCCCAGCCCTACATGCTCTGAACTCCCACCCCCTTCTTTGACATTCTCCCCCAACCCTGCCCCAACTCAGGGCCTTTGCATAAGCTGCTCCATCTGTCCGGAACACATGTGCACTGAACCTGGACTCTCCTTTACATGGATAAGTCTCTTCTTCCCTTTCTCAGGATTTCTCCATCACCTGTTCTACCTCCAGGTGAACAGGCCACTCATAGTTCTCCTAAATCTTATCCGGACATTCGGCCTCTTCAATGTAAGTGCTACACTGTTTCCAGGGGCCCCTTCTTGGCCACCATTTCCATAAAGGTGGGGACTGGGCCTTATTTTTCTTGGTGCCTACCACCATAGTATCTGGGAGCACAGAGTTGGTCCTCATTAAAAATGACTGGTACAGAATCCTTCAACTCACCTCTTTACTAAGCACCTAGTAGGCCAGGCTTGTGCTAGCCCTGGGAATACAGTTGTGTACAGAATACAACCAGACAGAGTAGTAAGAGAAGGATTGTAGAGAAGTGGCTAAGACATTAGATTTTAAAGACAAATAACCCAGGGTCAAATCCAAGCTCTTCCAAGTTTTGTGAGGCTGGACAAGTTATTTAGCTTCTGTGATGGTTCATTCTAGGTGTAACTTGGTTGGACTGCAGGATGTCTAGACAGCTGGTAAGATGTTTCTGGATGTGTCTGTGAGGATGTTGCCAGAGGAGACTGACATTTGAGTCAGTGGACTGGGAGAGGAAGAGCCACCCTCAGTGTGAGTGGGCACCACCCACTCAGCTGCCAGTGTGGCTAGAACAAAGCAGGTAGAAGAAGGTGGGATAAGCTCTCTTGCTGGCTCTTCTGGCTTTCATCTCTCTCCCACGTTGGATTCTTCTGTCTGTTGCTTCTGCTCCTGGACATCAGATTCCAGGATTTTTGGCCTTTGGACCCTTGGACTACTTAACACCGGTGGTTTGCTGGAGCTCTCAAGCCTTGCCACAGACTGAAGGCTACACTGTAGGCGTTCCTGATTTTGAGGCTTTTGAATCAGACTGAGCCACTACTGGCCCCTTTCTTCCTCAGCTTGCAGGTGGCCTATTGTGTGGGACTTCGCCTCTGACTGTGTGAGCCAATTCTCCCAAACGAACTCCCTTTCGCATAGGCATATATCCTATTAATTCTGTCCCTCTGGAGAACCTTGACAAATAGAGCTCCTGTGTCCCTCAGTTTCCTCACTTACATAGTGGTACTATGTGTATAAAAGTGTCACCATTACACAGTTGCTCTAAGAATTAAAAGAATCAATTTACTTAAACTGTGTAGGACCATCCTGGCCCACTAGAAAGCACACAGAAATTCAGTTCTTATTGTTAACTGTCATGGAACTTACATTCTGGGGGATGGAATGGGGAGAGGAGAGCACATGTCATCCCAAAATGTAATACGATGGGATAAGGAGCTATTTGTTTAAATGATATAAAATTGCCACATTTTCAAAAGTGATTGCATAGAGGCATTTTTATATGGCACAGACTAAAATGTGCAGAGAACATAGAGAAGAGAGCAATGAATTTTGCTTGGAGAAGTAAATAAAAGTTCCATAAAGAAGTTGCACCTTAACTGGGCACAGTGGCTATTAGTAATCCCAGCACTTTGGGAAATTGAGGTAGGAGGATTGCTGGAGGCTAAGAGTTTGAGACCAGCATGGGCAACATAGTGAGACTTCATTTCTACAAAAAACAAAAAAGTTAGCTGTACATGGTGGCGCATGCCTGTAGTACCAGCTACCAGGGAGACTGAGGTGGGAGGATAGCTAGAGCCCAGGAAGTGAGGTTGCAGTGCACCATAATCATGCCATTGTACTCTAGCCTGGACAACACAGCAAGACCCTGTCTTAAAACAAAAAAGAAATTGCACCTTGATGGAGCCCCCGCAGGATGGGTAGACAGTCACTGGACAGAGAAAGGGAGAAATTGTATTTAAAGGAGAACATCAGCAGGAGCAAAGAAGGGGACTTAATAGAGCGAGACCAACAGACGCTGATAGAACTCAGAATCTCTTTTGGGGATGACAGAATTGAATACTGGAAAGGAATCAAATGATTACTAATCACACTAAGCTCATTCTGGCTTCCATGTTATAAGTGATATTAGTGTTTTTTTAAAGAGTTAAGAAAGCATTACAGCATACAAGCAAAAAGCATACATGGGTTTTGGTGCCAGAAGGACCTGGTTTGAGTCCCAACTCTACTATTTACTGAGTGAGTGAACTTGACCAAATCACTTAACTTCTATGAGCCTCAATATCCTTATCTGTAAAATGGGTTTAATAGGACTTACCATAATCCCAGCACTTTGGAAGGCTGATGCAGGCGGATCACCTGAGGTCAGGAGTTTAAGACCAGCCTGACAAATATGATGAAACCCCGTTCTCTACCAAAAATACAAAAATTAGCCAGGCATGGTGGTGGACGCCTGTAGTCCCAGCTCCTCAGGACGCGGAGACAGGAGAATTTCTTGAACTCAGGAGGTGGAAGTTGCAGTAAGCCGAGATCGTGCCACTGCACTCCAGCCTGGGTGACACAGAGAGACTCCATCGAGGATTTACCTAGCAGG